TTTACTTTTTTAATATTTTATTATTATTTTCACTACTTTCCAATTAACATATTATTTTACATATAGTTTCATTAATTAAATATCTAATATTAGTAAGTCATTTCAAATGTAATATAATATTTTAAAAAATATATTATTTAATATATACTACTTTAATTTCAAATTAATGTATTTTTTTTTATAATTTTCACCAATAATAAAATTTTATTTTATTATTAATTTTCATTATAAAGAATATACAAAATTAAAGTGGTAAGATGAAACATTTAATTTAAATACAAGACAACAATACAATACATAACATAATAATTTAAATACAACATAAAATACAATAATAACATAATAATTAATTCGCGATGAAACAAGGATCATGTCAAAAAGATGTTGAACAAGAATTTGAAGTTTTGCAATTATTGCAAGTCCGTCACGTTTTCGGAGAAAGAAAATGCTACATGATATATTACTACATAGATTATACAACACAACGTGATAATTGAGGATGAACATGATCTTAATGCACCAATTCAAGATGTCGTAGAGGCTCCAACTCCAGCGATAGAAATGGTGTTAGATGAAAATCTCCGATTTGAATAATTTTTAGCTAGACATAATAAAACTAAGGACAAAAATGATCATTTTGAATATTGTAATGCATTAATAGAGCATTTACAGGAGCAACATAAGAATTTCAAAAATTGAGTGATTATTTAATGTTTATCTAATTATATTACAATTTTATTTGAATTTGTTCATTTAATTTATATATTATATAATATTCTTGTGCAATTTATGTTATTTAAATTTTTTTAATAAAATAAAATAATTAAATAAAAAAATTGAAAAAATAATTGTTTGTATCACATGAGAATTATATAAAGTAATTATTGGAAAAAAATTAATAATTTATATCATGAAATAAAAAAATAAAAAAAAATAGAAATAATAATATAATATTGAGAAGAGAGAAAAAGATTCTTTTTTAGAGAGTATAATAGAAAATTGGATTGGAATTAATTGTCTGAAAAAATAAAAAACTCTATATTTGAAAATTAAAATTGAGTGTAGGGTTGGAGATCCCCTAAGAATAAACACTGAGTCATAGATAACTGGAAAGATAGTCACCTCACCTCAACTCAATTCAAAAGCAATAACAAGAGAAGAAATGCTTAAAACTTGATAAATAAAAGATATTAAATCAAGGATGTATATCAAAATACAATAAATTACTTTTTACTCTTATTTGGGAGTTTCTCTAACCGACAATCATTACTATGAGTTATGTTGGTGATGATACATCGACTCATCCATATTGCCAAAAGTATCTTATACCTTGTATGAGTATAAAGCACCTCAACTAGGTGAATCCACTAAGTTATGCTCAAAAACAGTAAGGACTTGTCCAAAAAATATGACCATTTACCCATGTTGGCTACGTGATTTATGAGGAATGTGAGTTATCTGAACTCATCTCCACGTAAATGCTCAATATTACTCCCAATAAATCACTTTCCTTTTGGTACCAAATGAATTCATTTGGTGTTCTCTTAATCTGCATCTTATGTATTTGTTTGTGTTTAATTTTTAAGCAGAAACATATTATAAAAAGGAATGGATATTCAATTTTCTTAGTTATAAATATAGTGTAGGTCATGACTAATTGAATCATTTGCAGAGCTCTGATGTATAAGTTTCTTTTTTTTTTCCTTCTAAATATTTGGTATTGGTAATGTAAAAAAATTAATGTCAAAAGTTCATGGCTTGAAAGGTAGTTCTTTATGATTTAAATTTGTTCAACTTAGAAATTAATTTAGTATTTATTTGTTTTGGCTTAGCTTATATTTTGATTGTGTTTTTCCTTTTTTTTTTTTTGGTAATAGCTAATAGTGGTTAGATGATTAGGTTATTACATCATTTAATCTAATTATTAACGCTTCACTTACCATATATAACAATATCTTTTAACTTCCAATTTTTTTTTTAAATAAAAGAGCAACATTTTGTTTAACCTTAAGTTTGTTTTAGAAATGTTTTCCTAGTGCACTCATTTACTTGAGCAGCAATCATTTTCTTTTTTGAGGGAATGACCTTTTTTTATTTACTTCTAGTTCATGAGTTTGTCAAGGTTTAAAAGTGTTTTTTGATTTCAAGACCCAAACAAATATTTTCTAACTAATTTCCTTTGACGTTTATTTAATCTTTTAGTATATATTTCCTTTTTAAAACTAATCAACCATAGTTTGGATGTCTTACATCTTTGACATAATACATAAATATGCTATTTAACTTGATTTCGAATCACATTTATGCCTTTCAACTTTGGATGTGCACAAGTAGACACTTAGACTTGCATAAAATTGAACAAATAGACGCAAATGTCCTACATGTCATTTTTTGTCCTACGTGTATTTTGTCATGTAAGACTCATGTGTTTATTTATTTAAAAGTTGGAAAGTTGAAGTGTTTGTTTGTGCATTATGAAAGTTGGAGGTCAAAATTAATATTTGAAGCTAAGTTTAGGGTCTAATATATGTATTATGCCTACATCTTTTCTTTAGGATAAATTAGAACCTTTACCTAGAATCATATAAGGTTAATAAGACCTTAATATAGAGTTAATTTAGCGTAAGTTAAGCAAAATAGGTGTACATACTAATTCACCTTTAAAATAATTAGGTGGAAACTCTTTAAAATAACATAAAAATCACCAATGTGTTGTATACCAATTGAGCCTAGAGTTAAAATAGGATATAACAGTATGTTAAGAGATATGATCGTTTGAAATTAATTATTGAACAAACTAATGCAAAAAACGTAGTTGGTAGGGAGGTTTTGAACTTGACTAAGTACTAGAGGTCTCTTATGATCCTAAATCACTCCCCACACATAAGACTGAACCTTAATGTCATCACCCAAAAAATGGACGCGATGACACTAATTTTTCCCAACAAGACAAGTCAACCTCTACTCAACTCAAACGAAAAAGAGTAAAAAATAGATCAAGATAGAACAAAAAACTTATTCTTCTATTGAAACCCCCCAAAATTTGATTCTCACGTGTACAAGCCATTACATACATAAATGCAATAATTAAGAAATGAATACAAGTCTCAAGCTTTATTTCTCAAATAGAATAAAGTGTAAGGAAAGGAAAAAAAAACCGTCAAATAACAAACAACTACGTACCTCTTCAAGTCCTTGACGAGCTTTGAGATCAACAAAAGGAGAAAGAGATCTCACAAGTTCGACCTCAAAATATTATGCCATTACCATACCAACTTCGATATGATTCGGTACTTTTAACAATTTTGATATTTTACGGCACGCTTGTTCAGTAACCATAATTTGTTTGACTTCGACTTACATATATTCAGATTTATAACTTAAATTTTTATTAAAACATCTCAATCATAATAGACTAAAATGAAAATGACATAAATTAATCAAACTTTTTAACAGTAAATGACCCTTAAATCAAAGTTCAATAACAAATTTGAATCTTTTCGCTTAAATATAATATACATGGATTCGATATATACTATAGAATACCATGGTAAATACCAAAATTTTAAAAAAACGTATACGAAATATCATAATATACATATATACCAATACTATGTCCACCTAAATCGAAGCATAGTTGAAAAAAAGGAAGGAAGGAAACACAAAAGCCAAAAGAACTACTCAATGTGATATACATGCCTATGAGTGATATCATACCTAGAGTAGAGGTTTGAAATAAAGCCAAAAAGAGGTCCAAGAACCTTATCACCATGGTTTATGTTTATGTGACCTTTCTCTAACCTTTACATCAACCAATAATCATGAGCTCAATCACCAACAACAAACATAAAAAAACCAATCTTTGAAAAAACCCAAAAAGCAAACCTACCATAAAACCCCCCCTTTCTCCTGTTTTTGTGTTCTTCTGTGTGTTTTTATATTGGGGGACTTAAAGAAATAGTATTGTTTTTGTCACCATGGACTCAAAGAATTATGGTGTTCCACTTTCTACAACACAAGGGAGCCCACCTGCAAATGTCCCTCTTTTCACTTCAACAGGTATTAGAGCTCCTATTACTATTGATGATTCCGACTTTGAATACTCTGTCTCTGTTAATGGACCAAAAAATAGTAGTAGTTATTATGG